GGAAAGAGCTTACAGACCCCTGGAATTCCTGAACCAGAAATGACAGCCAAGTCTTTATGTGTAAATGGGAAATAAAGCTTGGGGTTCTTTGGGAAGTTTCAGCATTAGTGAGGTAATGCAAAACATAGCGTTAAGGGTGGCTGAAGGACAAAACTCGAGCTCCTGAAAGTAAAAGGCAGTATAGACTGTAGAGACATAGAAATGAGAGATTTCATAATATTCAGGTTAGTCACTAAGAAAAAGAATCATGAAAAAGCAGCTCTTGTGAAATTCCTAAAATTTTCAAGAAAACTGGACTGTATTTAGGATGCTACTTTCTGAGAGTGGAAAGGTTTTGATGAATGTCCATAATATTGTAATCAATAACAAACTCAATTGGAGAATTCTGCTTATTGAGTTTTAAGTGACAAGTGTTAAGAAACACTGAGTATTATTAATAGAGTTCCATCCTGCTAAAACTGAAAACAGTAATTTCATATTTTGTCTTTTCTTTTTTCTATGTATTATACAAAAATCTCTAGAAAAAATATACAGAAAAATAAGGAACACACATACATAAACAGAGCAATTGCATTTCAGTGGAAGTCTGAGAGAAACAGCAAAAGAGAATCCAAGCTAAAAACAAATTTCTAAATAGCTTATATCTTCTAAAATATAGTATGACACAGGGAAAAATGAAATTTTTAGAAGGTTGTTATTTCAAGAGAAAACAAATGAATTGAGTCACCTCTACTGGTAAAGTATTCCCTTACTATGCTAAATGAGTTAGAGAGCTACTTTTGATAACATTTGCATATAATTTGTTTTTGAATATGCTGTAGAAGTAGCAAGATAGAGAGATTCCAGAGATTCCAAGAAAGAGAGATTTTATACTCTATGCTATGATTTAAATACGTCCCCTAAAGTTATGTGTTGGAAATTTCATTTCCAAATCAAAGTATTGGGAGGTAGAACCTAGTGAGAGGTAAATAGCCCATGAGAGACCCACCCTCATGAATGCATTGATGTCCTTGTCACAGAAGTGGGCTCCTTATGAAAGAACAAATCTGGCCTTCTGACTCTCTCTCAGCCTCTTTTGCCCTTCTGCTCCTACCATGGGATGATGCAATTAGAAGATCCTAGTGGAATTTCCACCTCCAGAACGATGAGCCAATAAACTATTTATTGTATTTTACCTAGTCTGTAGCACAAAATGGATTGGGACACTCTATATATCTCATCCTTTTTGTTTGTAGTAGAGTAGTTTTATATTCTCAATCTAGCTTGGGAATAGAATAAATAAAACAGACTTCATGAGATGAGTGAAATTGCAGATCAAAGGAAACCTCAGACACACACACACACACACACCACACTAAGGTCCTTTTATTTGTAGGCTTATTATAAAATTAAAATAAATTGAAGCTTTTTTGAATAGATTTTGCAGAACAAGTTTTTAGAAAAGATTTGTTATGTTTTGTTTTTGTTTTAATGTCCTGGAAATTTCTACTCAGAGAATTTCCAGTGTAAAATACTATGTAATCTTAGTTTAACAGTGATGGCATCTAGCATATGAGATAGTCTTACAAGATCCCTTAAACAATACAATTTCAAGCTGGCCTAGTAAAATGCCATGCATGAAAATGCAATTTTTATTAGGTGCTGAGCGAAATGAAGAATTGTGTTATTTTATGTTCAGCTTTCCACCATAATAAATTATTCTGCTAACTGGTAGTCTTTTCCATGGCAGGTTTTTGAAAATATTGTATTAGAAAAGTATCATTTTTTGTTTCTCTTTCCATGCATGACTAGCAAAACAAAAAGGCCTATCTACATAGGCGAGCATATGGCTCCCTGTCAGTTTCAAATCCATTCCTCTTGAATTGCTCACAAAAAACAATTAGTTAAAAAAAAAAAAAAAAACCTATTCACAATTTTTTTTCTTAGCTTCTTTCAAATGCATAAGGCTCATTCTTTTGGGATTCATTGGATCAAATTTACACACATTTTCATTTACATATTCAAGATTAAAAAGAATTTTTCAGCAGAAAATAAGTCAGAACCATTAAACAGCATATTTATTAACCATAAAAATAAAAGTGCCACATTTACCTAGGGAGAAAGCAGTATCTATACCTGGGTAAATTGATTCATTAATCCAAATATTTACGGATACATACCATGTTCCAGAAACTGTGAGCATGATTGATACATGCATTGTTCCCCTGAAGCTTAAAATCTATACAACTAAACGAAATGAATAACAAAAGTGCATCAAAAATTCGAGGATAGTATCTCTCATGGGTTTGTCCACTAAAACTTTAAGAACAATAAAATGAATTCATAGATCTGTAAATTCGTTAGGATTAACTGTTAAGTATGAAAAATTATTGAACAATAAATATTTAAAAATAAATAACCACTCATTTCACATTTTTCTTCAAGTATGGTTGTTTATTGAACAATAAATATTTAAAAATAAATAACCATTCATTTCACAATTTTCTTTAAGTATGGTTGTTTCTTTTTTTCCTTTAATAAATATTTCATCTTTAAATCATTCCAACTTGCCTTTAGACTTTTGACTTTCAGTATTTGAATTTGTGGCATGGTAGTTAAGGCACTTGGTTCCCTCCCACATGGCCAACTGCAGTTTGAGTCCCAGACCTGGAGGCTTGCTTTTTCATATTTGCTCTCTCTCTCTCTTCTTCTCTCTCTGGTGAGCATATGTGCACTGTAGCATGATGTTAATAAGTAATTGAATAAAAAAACACAAGATAGATAAAAGATCATTATTTCTTAAAGAATTCCAGTGAATAAATATAAGTTATGATTGAAATAGAAAACAGCTGTTACAAGTCCTTAATAATTGTTTCAAGTGAAAATAAATTAGAGATAGACAAATTGTTTCATCATAAAAAAATAAAATGAAATAAAATATATTAGTTAGGGTTCTCTAGGGAGACAGAATCACCAGGAGGATAGATATAAAAGAGGGGTTTGTTGAGAGAATCAGCTTATGATTTCTGTGACTGAGAAATCCCGTAACAGGCCTACTGCAAGGTGGAAACCCCAGCATGCAACGAGTATCTCTCAGCCCAAGTCCAAAGGCCTTAGAGGTGATATGACTCAGTCTGAAAGCTTGAGAACCACTTAGACCAGTGCAGAGAGGGTGGTGCTGCTGAGAGTCCTGGAGTGCAAAGGCAGGTGAGCCTTGAGTTCTTGACTGCCTTGTGCCCACTCACATTGAGGGAACCCCACCTTGATTCCTAAACTTCACATTAGTCTCCTGGGGAAACATTCCACAGACACGCCCAGGACAATGCTTTATCAGGTTTCTAGGTGGTCCTTAGACCGAGCAAATAGACACCCAGAACCCAAGGGTCACAAATATCAAACACATCTATTACCAAAGACACAAGTCTATTATATAATCAGCAGTCTGGATACATTTTTATCTGATTTAAAGCATGATTTATTTTAAAAAATGGATAATTAAAAATGCTTTCAGTTGGAAAATTAATCATTGCACATCTATAGTTTAACAATATATATAAT